AAAAAAAAAAAAAAAACTATTCCATGTATTCTTGAAAAAATATGTCTAAATAACCTTAATTTTATAGTATTTTCTACTACTTTGGAAGCAACCCAGTACATCCTCCCTTTTAAAACATATCACAAATTCCGGTATAAGACGGCTTAATCGTTGGATGAACCAAGCCGTTTTATTGGTTTTAACAAACATTTTTTATTAAGCTATTGTTATATTTTAGCTTTTGTTATTTTTAGAATATAAGTTTATTAAATTTACTTTTTATTTATTTTTTTTGTAATAAATGTTTTTTGTTATTTAATTGCGGTAAATAAATCATATTGAATTCTTGAATAAACGAATGCGAATCACGTAATATATTTTCCACAAATAATTATGAAATACTCTGAATTTTTTTAATTGTAGAGAAAAATGTTGTTTTAAAAAGTAAACAATCAATTGTTTTAAACATGATAAAGGGGAATCAAAGCAATTTAAAATTAAACTAATATTTATGAGATTTTAATTGTCATAATTGATATGGTCCGAAATAAGTGACTCCGGTCATCCGAAAGGTTCTCTCCTGTCTGAACGTAGATCTACCGGCTTGGTTTGGTCCAAGTCCGTACGCTCGTCGGTACCTGAAAAGGTGCTGGAATTACTCCAACGCAAGACCCCCCGACGCCCAAGTCAATATCTCTGAATAAAGAAATCACTTGCAATAAATGTAACAATGATAATAATAAATGAGTCTTCCTCGTTCCTCTTGAATTTACCTCTTACATAGTATTTAGTTGTACGGTAATAAATTCCTAATCACTTGTCGACCAAACATCTTTTAGTCGATGTTCCGGTCTGTAAGGGTCGACCTTGCACTACAACAAAAAAGGCATTTAGCAACGCTTATTTTTTTTGTTTAGTGACATTTATTAGTGTCACAAAATTTTTTACCTACGCCTGAAAAAGTGTCACGAGTTGCGTCGTTAAATTTGATGTCACGAATTTATTCGTGACTCAAGACTCGTGCGTAGGTAATTTTCAATACGCAACGCTTTTTACAAGTGTGTCACCTTTGCAGAATTTTTATGACTCAAGATGTTTGCATCGTTAATTTTTAATACATAACGCTTTTTTAAGTGCGTTACTATTATTAATTTTCGCAACGCAAAATGAATGGATTGTAAGTGTCGCAGCCGACACTTTCTTATATGCGTCATTATTACAACCGATGTAAATTGTGACAGAAAAAACTAAAAAATATCACTTTCTAAGTTAAATAAACCGATGTAGAAAGTAAAAGAAAAAGAAAATAAAAGAGATTTTTCATTAGTTGAACCAATGTAGAAACTAGAAAGTAATATCGCATTTCCGAATAGGCTAACGATACTAGGAAATCAAATAGTTCAACATAAACTAAATATTCAGAATACATCAAATATTCCGAAAACAAAAGCCTACAGTCTTCTACTTAGCCAATGCGGCGATATCGTGAAAACCAAATCATCAATTTCCTCTTGCATATTCTCCGCATATCATCAATATCCTTTGCAAGTGATTCTTCCAAAAATACCTAAATTGAAAAACCATAAACAACATAAGATCAAGACTAAAGTTTAAAAGAACATAATATTTACTTTAAGATAATATAATACTCGATATCTGAAGTGTTCTATTAATATTATTATCCAAAATTGCACTTACCTTCTGCACAGGGGAGTGGTACTGTTGTCGTCGCATGTTCCAGGCCCACCACCTTTGAACCTATAGTATGTTCTGTTTTGTTTTTATGAAATCAGGGTCATTTGACTATACTTCATGAAAAGTTATCATTATTCAGATGATAATATTTCAACTTGATAATATTTCTAAAGTTGAGCTAGAATTATGCCTTTTCATTTCTGCTGACATGTGCACTGTTGATCTATGGTGTCGCACGGTAATGTGATGATGCACCTTGGAGTTACCATGGTCGAGACCAGGCTGTGAAATCTCAATCCTTTCTTCCTTGATAATAGATTGATACCTGCAAACATACATACGAAAAAGAAAAAGTTAGCTACATTTTTCCTTTTAACTTCATATGCATGCACCAATATAAAAGTTAGCTACCTTTCTCCTGTTAAATCTATATGTATGCACCAATATATCTATAGATACAATCATTATATTATTATCCATGTACACATGTGTAGGTTGTATTTAATGGGCCATTAAGAACTTTGAAAGGTAAGTGGGATACAAATTCTCATGTACAACAATTCTGACTTCAGGGAATCCACATGACTAGATATAAATTTATCAATTGACACAATTTCTCACATAAAAACTAGTTATATAAACTTCAGGTTTAACATGTTTCCTTTATATTGGATATCTGCATAATCCCATGAAAACAAATTTCTTTGTAAAATAAAAATAGAATCTGGTTTGTCAATTCAATTTGCTACATAACATTTTTTTGCTAAGATTTGGCTCCAAGCAATTACTAGACTGTAAACAGCCTTAGGCTCACGAAAGTCGAGTCCTTGTCATTCATTCTGAAAGTTCAGAAAAAGAGAAACATTTTCGAACATCAACATGATAACAAAGCAGTTGTCTGCGATCATATCTAGGACTCAGAGATGTTCAGTACCATCATTCATATATATAAATTTATTTCTCTTGACAACATGACTGAATACACGACAAGTAAAAATAGTGGCAAAAGACATCAAGATTTATTTAAGTTACCATCAATCTTTGTCCATTGATTGATCCTGGCATCACTGAATTTATGACAAGAAGATGCACGTGCCTTGAGCTTTGCATTAGGCTCTTCATTTTCCTACGCGTTGCCTTTGAACTGTGTTGAACCAAGATGAACTTATAGCATTTAGATTTAACAAAAGAAACTTACACAAGCAATCATCAAAACATTTATACATCTAAAACCTACCAAAATAGAAAAGTTTGTTGCTTAGGATCAACACCTGCTGCAACAATCTACAAAAATCATACTGAAAAAGTCAATAGAATTACAAGAAAGCAATAAGAACACATATTTTCACCTGTTGCTTACAAATAGTTACATCCCTTTAACCAATTTATATATATATATATATATATTTGAGCAATCTCAACTATGTGTTCCAGCAAGTAGTTACATCCCTTCAACCAAGTCAAGTTTCTTTCATTTACTCATTTTCTATAGAACAAAAGGCAACATGGCAAATACAAAACAAAGAAAGTCAATTCACTTACACACCAAACCAAAATCAGGCCAAATAACACCAAATCATAATCATCAAAATACCAAAAAAAAAAAAAAAAAAAAAAAAAAA